CCCACCCTCCATCTTCTTTGTAAACCCACATCTGCTCTGACCTGGTTGCTTCCCTGCTTAGCAATCTCTTTGGGCTCCACCACAGCCCCAGGATGGTCCCATCTCCATACCCTCTCAGCCTTCATCTCTCTGCCATGCTCACTTCCCTGCCACATTCTTTCACACACCTTGGCTTCAGCCACACTCACCTTCACACCACTTCCCAAAGACAAAATGATTTTTTTCTTACTCTTTTGTTTCGTTTAGTTTTACTGTGTCTTACAGTTGTGGTTGCTTTCTTTCCCTTCTTTCTGGAGTCAGTTGAAATTCCACCTCCTCTGAAGGCTTTGCCCAACTCCCTGAGACAAGCCAATACCCCACCCCACGCTCACTCCGTGTTCCCATAGCAGTTATAGGGCTGGGCTGTGACTCCATCTGCCTGGTCCTATTCTACTTTTTGAAGACAAGATTGTATCTATCCCAGTGCTGGGCACATAACAGGACATCAGTACATACTTGCTGAATGAATGGATGAAGACATGAATGAGTTCTGTAACTTTTCATTCTAAGCACAACATCCTTGTCAAAAGGAGTTGGGGGCAAAGGGTGCAAATCGAGTAGTCAACACAGACCTGGAGCGTCAGTGAACCTTCGGACAGAAAAGATGCTGGTCAGACACCAAGAGTCCAGGAACACATGCAATCAGGGCCCAGGGACTTCACTAAAGCCACCCAAACACACTCTGGATGAAGAGAACCTTAAAATATCGTTTCCCTTTTTAACCCACTTCGAAAAAAACAAGCACAGCTCTAATTCCTTTGGGAAGGGGGCGTTACTATAATAACTTCAGTCATTACTTATTCTTTATTTGCTTGATTCCAAAATTGGGCCCTTCACAAAACTGCCTCAGGAAGCAAGAGCACAGAATTAAAACATTAATTATATTATATAAAACATAACATAGCAACAATTAAAGCAGCTTAAATTAATATGTGAAGGAATAAATAGTAGCCTTCCATTTGCCCCATGGGGTGAAGACCAGCTAAGATAAAGGGAAGATATTTTAGTACATACATATCCCAAGGAGGCCTGTGCTGGCAGGCAGAAGCCCAAGGAAGGAATAGAATCTTCTTGGGCTGAAAGGAGTGTGCTGGAGAAGGAAAGAGAGGTGAAGTGTTATAGGGAACGTGGCAAATATTTCAGAGTCCCATCAAAGAGGGCAACTGTGAACAGTTCAGTGATGGGAATGGGGCAAAGGCCATTTCTGAATAATGGAGTTCCAGGATTTAGGAATTACAGAGGAAATGGCCTTGGGGGATGGGGTACGGGGCTAGGTGGATGGGTGAAAAGAGGGCATGGAAGACGAATGTCCACAAGCCTGTCAGAAATTGGCAACCGGAAGGGTATATATAAAATGCAAACCTAATTGTGTTGCTTCCTAGCCTAAAATGACCCCCAGGGCTCTCCTCTTTAAGCTCCTCAGGCTGCAAGGCCTTGGACTTCCTGGTCTACATCTTGAATTGCATCTCCTTCCTCTCACTTGATGCTCTAGCCCACTGGCCAGTTGTAGTGTGCTGTCGCCCTGTCTGGTAAGCCCTTCTCCCACTCTCTTCTGGCTTCTTATCCTTCAGCTCTCTGCTCAGGTGTCCCAGCCCTGGAAAGCCCCTTCTGACATCCATCTGGGACCTGTACACCTAGTTCCCGCTGCTCTCTCAGAACGCTGTGGCTGCTTACCCAAGCAAAGCTCAGCCCTGCCACACTGTGTTTTGATTAATTCTGTTTACCTTTGGAATCCGTGTATTGAGGCAACTCAGCTTGGGGGGATGTAGTAACAAAGCTTTTCCCCTAATCTCTGCCTTCAACCAGCTGTGCTGGATCTCTTTTTCATCCCTTAATGACATCTTGGGCAGACTGCATTCCTTTGGGATCATTTTCTATTGATAAACCACCATCTTTTAAAGCTTTATTCTCAAACTCAGCTAAAATCTCATTTTATCTTCTCCCTTAGTCATCCAAGGGCTGATTTGAACCAAGACCCTGCCTGCTTGGAGTAAAAGAGGAGAAGGGGGCATGGCCTGGTTGGTAGACACGCCTTAGAACCTTCTCCTTCTTGTTAAGATTGGGAAGAGAGAGTGGGAAAGGGCAAATGCTCCTGTCCTTGTCCGGTCCCTGCAACATCCCCCCCCCTTTGATGGTTGACCTTGCTTCCCTGACTAACCTGAAGCGGCAACTGTCCACATATCAGCTTCCCATGGGGCATGTCAATATGTTTCTGTGGGCTTCTCACTGCACAGTTCTCCAACAGGGTCTTGGCTTTTACCTCTCCTACCTCTCCCTACCACTTCAGCTCCTGCCACTGGTGGGACCCTCTAGCCCAGCAGTCAGCCCCCTTGGGCCTCTCCCCAGGATTGTTATAGAGGCAAGGAAGAGGGAACGGGGGTTTTGGCTAGCGGATGTTGGGCCAGTTCTGCCAGTAAGTCCTGGAGGGAAAGTATCTGGCTCCCATTTAAAACACAGGGTACTTAGAATCTGTTGACTTTGTTGGCTATAGTGCCGATTGCTAAGTAACAGGGAAATTCCCCTTAGTAACTTTAGACTGAGCTCTCCCTCATGTAGAGTCTCTGGGTGGTGGCAATGTTAACATACTTGGCTGCTAATGGAAAGGTTGGAGGTTCAAGTCCACCCTGAGGTTTCTGGAAGAAAGTTCTGGCAATCTACTTTAGAAAAATCAGCCACTGGAATCCTTATGGAGCATAGTTTTACTCTGGCACACATGGAATTGCCACAAGTTGGAGTGAACTCAATGGCAACTGCTGTACGCCTCATGCCTAATTTCATTCCTGGACAGGAGGCAGAGTGTCTCCTTCCTCAGTGTATCCTGATGTGCAGGCACATGCTGGGCTGGTTTGTTGAATGAATGTGGGACTAAAGAGTAATGAGACTAAAGTGATCTGTCAGACTCTATCTTCTTGTCGCCCCCCCCGCCACACACACACACACACACACACACACACGACCACCACCACAGCCATTCTCAGCACTGTCCTATCTCCACCTGATGACTGGACTCTACTTAAAGTTCCCAGGTCCAGCTGTGCACATAAATCTTTCTCTTTTGCTCAGTAGAGTTGTGGTGGGAATTATCAAAGGGAACTAAGAAACTCAGGAAAAAAACCCAACCAGAAATTCAGAAAACCCAAAGGCTATCAAAACGGATGGTTGAGTTGACAAAGTACAGAAGCTTCTTTCTTCTGGTCTGGTTAGCACCACCTACTGACCTGGCTGATTGTGATTCCCAGACAATAAGGCCTCAGGTCTCAAAGGGTTCTGTGGTCTGAGATGAGAGATGACTTTGATGTGGAGGAAAGATCTTAATTCCTCATCATGGCCTCAAACCCTGCACGACCTGGCTCTGCCACCTTCTCGTTCTACTCACCCACTTTCTTGCCATGTTCCAGCCATCCAGCTCTCTGAGTTCCCACCTCAGAGTTTTGTCTGTGCTGCTTCCCTGGCCTGAAATGCCCCACCCTTGACTCTCCACCTGCTGACTTTCCCTCACCATTCAGATCTTAGACCAAATGCCAAGCCCCCAGAGAGGTCTCCACTGACTATCTTATCTAAAGTTCCATCCACTACCGACTCACTGCCTCACCATTGTCCTCTCTCATAGCACCTGCTCTAGTCATGGCTGCTGTTGCAAACAAAAGAAGATAG